TTTGGCCAAGGACTTTGTGAGCCTCATGCTCTGCCAGGGAGGAGGGAAGCCGGGAGGACACCTGACCCAAACTGACCAAAGAAGTATTCCATACCACAGCACGTCATGCCCAGGAGGTAACTGGGAGTTCCCCGGAAGGGCTAGTGGACTGCAGGGTTGGAGGAGGTATCGGTCGGTGCTTGGTCGGGCTGGGGGGAGCAAGTTATCGGTCGCCTGGTGATGAGGTGTTGTATTCTCTTCCCTTGTTATTTCCTTTATCATTACTATTGTTAGTAGTAGCAGTAGTGATTTGTGTTATACCTTAGTTACTAAACTGTTCTTATCTCAACCCATGGGAGTTGCATTCTTTCTGATTCTCTTCTCCATCCCTCCAGGAGTAGGGGGAGGGCAAGAATGCGGGGGAGTGGGTGAACAAGCTGTCTGGCTGGGGTTAAACCACGACAGTTCTTTTTTTATTAAGGGCTATGGGGAAATAGGGGGAGGGCAGGAAGTGGGGGGAGTGAGTGAAAAGCTGTCTGGCTGGGGTTAAACCAGGACACCTCCTTGAATGGATAAGGAGCTGCTGAGGAAAATTCATATGAAAAAAGAGTCTTATAGAAAGTGGAAGCAGGACAGGTGGCCTGGGAAGAGTACAGGGATGTTGTCTGGGAAGCTAGGGACCAGGTTAGGAAAGCTCAGGCCCACTTAGAATTAAACTTGGCTAGGGATATTAAGGATAACAGGAAGGGATTCTACAGGTACATAGCAAATAAAAAACAGACTAGGGAGAACGTAGGCCCCCTCAGGAAGCTCTCTGGAGAACTAGCTACACAGGATTTGGAAAATGCGGAGGTTCTGAATGACTTCTTTGCCTCGGTCTTCACTGGCGAAGGCTCTGACTGCACCACCCAAGTCTTGGAAGGCAGACACAGGGACTGTGAGAATGAAGACCTTGGGCCCACTGTAGGAGAGGAACTGGTTCAAGACCATGTTAAAAAATCTGAACGTGCACAAGTCCATGGGACCTGATGAAGTCTGTCCAGGGGTCCTGAAGGAGCTGACAAACAAAGTTGCTAAGCCGCTGGCCATCATATTTGAAAAATCATGGCAGTCAGGTGAAGTTCCCAATGACTGGAAAAAGGGAAATATAACCCCCATTTTCAAGAAGGGGAAAACGGATGACCCGGGGAATTACAGACCAGTCAGTCTCACTGCTGTGCCTGGCAAAATCTTGGAGCAGAGTCTCCTGGAAGGCATGCCAAGGCACATGAGAAATAAGAAGGTGCTTGGTGATGGCCAGCAAGGCTTCACTAAGGGGAAATCCTGCCTGACCAAATTGGTGGCCGTCTATGATGGGAGCTTCTACGGGGCTGATGCACAGGGGCAGAACAGTTAATGTCATCTACCTGGATTTGCGTAAAGCGTTCAACACTTTCCCACATGACATCCTTGTCTCTAAATTAGAGGGATATCAATTGGATGGACGGAACACTTGGTGGATAAAGAACTGGCTGGATGGCTGCACACAAAGTTGTGGTCAATGGCTCAATGTCCAGCTGGAGATCAGTAATGAGTGGTGTCCCTCAGGGATTGGTGTTGGGACCGATCTTGTTTAACATCTTTGTCGGTGACATGGACAGTGGGATTGAGTACTTCCTCAGCAAGTTTGCCAATGACACCAGGCTGTGTGGTTTGGTTGATATGCTGAGGGAAGAAATGCCATCCAGAGGAACCTTGACACGCTTGTGAGCTGGGCTGATGCCAACCTCATGAAGTTTAACCATGCCAAGTGAGAGGTCCTGCACCTGGGTCAGAGCAATCCCAGGCACTGCTACAGGTTGGGCAGAGAAGAGATTCAGAGCAGCCCTGCGGAGAAGGACTTGGGGGTGTTGGTCGATGGGAAAATGAACATGAGCCGGCAGTGTGCGCTTGCAGCCCAGAAAGCCAACTGTATCCTGGGCTGCATCAAAAGGAGTGACCAGCAGGTTGAAGGAGGTGATCCTGCCCCTTTACTCTGCTCTTGTGAGACCTCACCTGGAGTACTGTGTGCAGTTCTGGTGTCCTCAGCATAAAAAGATCATGTAACTGTTGGACCAGAGGAGGGCTGCTAGGATGATCAGGGGACTGGAGCTCCTCCCATATGAAGATTGGCTGAGAAAGTTGGGACTGTTCAGCCTGGAGAAGGCTGTGTGGAGACCTCATAGCAGCCTTCCAGTATCTGAAGGGGGCCTACAGGGATGCTGGGGAGGGACTCTTCGTTAGGGACTGTAGTGATAGGACAAGAGGTAATGGGTTCAGACTTAAACAGGGGAAGTTTAGATTGGATAAAAGGAGGAAATTCTTTCCTGTAAGGATGGTGAGGCACTGGAATAGCTTGCCCAGGGAAGTTGTGAATGCTCCGTCCCTAGTAGTGTTCAAGGCCAGGTTGGACGAGGCCTTGGGTGATACAGTTTAGAGCGAGGTGTCCCTGCCCATGGCAGGGGGGTTGGAACTTGACAATCTTAAGGTCCTTTCCAACCCTAACCTATGATTCTGTGATTTGATTGCACTCATTCTGCCCATTTTCCTAATGCAAACAATGGTTCCAGTATTGAGCAGGCATTACTTCCCAAGGCAAGAGTCACAGAATGGCAGAATAGCTGAGGTTGGAAGGGCCCTCTGGAGGTCACCTGGTCCAATGCCCCTGCTCAAGCAGAATTCTGTAGGTTGCAGAATTACGTGGGGTTTTTTTGTTTGTTTAATCTGAGAACAACATGCTGTCACCAGCTATTATTATAATGGCGTACAGTTTTTTATTTCTGATATCTTAAATGTTTAGGTAATTTAAGCACTCGTACTGAAGAAATATGATATTGCATCAATTAGAAACAAATACAGCAAGAATATGAGCAATTTAAATAAAAAACCATGAAGACAATCTCATTTTGATCTTACATAGCTGAAATCCCTAGCTCTTGGGGAATACCTGCTCCGGATACTTCTTGTTGACAGATGAAAAATAAAATATGTTCATTATATAAATAAATCACATGGAGTAATAGTGTGGCTGTATGACCTTTTTGCATGGCTTTTTATCTTCTGCATCAGTGGAGATTCAACTGATCTATTTAAAGTAAAATAAGCCATTTTTTATATGGCAGTGGCAGCTGTATTTTTTCCAGCAGTATGTCTGTTTGTTTTGAGGAGGAAGAATGACTTGGTAAGTACTAAGTTTCTATTACTGTAATTTTTTTTCAGTGTAAGCTGGAAGTTTGCTATAGAAATTCTGTGGCTCTTTAATGATGGCCAAAATTGTGTGCGCATTTTTTTTTTTTTTTTTTTAAAGTGGCTTCTCTGCTTTGTGGACAAAACCTGAACATGTTTGTTCCCTTTACTATATAATTTACGTCCCTGTACTTACATAGTATACTAAGTGGTTTACTGAAATAATCTGTTCTGGTAGAATTTCAGCCAGGCATAGTTAAGGCTGCTTGCTATTCACTGCTACATATTTAAATTTCTTATAGAAAGGCATATATGAAAGATGTTCAAGTGAACTGTAAAACGGGATCTGTGGGATGGATAAATGTGATTATATTGGTCCTTGATCTGAAGATTGTTCTCCATCCAAGGGAAGATGTATTTTGTCCTTGCTAAAGGGAAAAAAGTCCAACCCAAAACCAAAACAACCAACCAAAAGCAAGAAACCCAACCCCATATAACACTTGAAAGAGAAATGAGGACTATGATTTTCAATAGTAAGCTTTCAGTTTTACAAGTTTCTGGGATATTTAGGGTTGGTGTGGGGCAGTAAGAATTAACAGTAATGAAAGCATATCTGCTGGATTTGGAATGGAAACAGAACTGATGTTGGGAGTTTGTTCCAACTGATGTTGGAAGTTTGTTAAGTAACTGGTAAGATTACAGAAGAGGGAAGCAACAAAGATAGTGGAGAAGTTGAATTCATATATGGACATACTCTGTTTGCAATGAGTGTCAGTTAAGTTGAGATGCTTCTAGAAATACGAATGTAGACAGAAATAGATGGATTTAAGAATTGCTGTAGAGGATTAACAGGATCTGTTAGAACATAATGAGCAAAGGACAAGTGAGTCTAGAAGAATATCAAGTATGAAAAAAGTGAAGGGTGAAGAAATATTATTGAATAGATATGGGTGATTGCAGGAATATTGAAGCTCATGAAAAAAAGCCTTAACTCCTTGATCTTGGAACTAAAATGGCAGTTGGAACAATGCAGGATTAGAGAATGTCCTGTCTCTTTTCTCCAAAAGAAAATTACTGATGGACTTGTCTGTAGTGTCAGCAAAAGAGAAACACTGCAAAGTGAGGTGAGGAGTGAGTTACAGGACATGTATAAGTTACAGAAGAAAATGGTCTACTCTTGGACAGTGTGTGGGAGAAGGGGGGTAGGACAATAATACTAAGTTGTGAGGAACTGGAGACAGGAGAACTTAAAACTGATTTGGAGGAAGTGACGACTAACTGAATGATAAAAGGAAAGTATAAGAAGAATTAGGTAGACTGTAAGATAAAATGCTGGCATCAGAACACAGGAAGGAGTAGAACTCAGAAAGGAGAACTGGAAAAGAGGTCATAGGGGTGGAATGGAAAGGACCTCTCCAGTTGTATTTGTTTCTGGCAAGATCATAGAGAAAAAGAAGAGTTGAAGGAACAAGGAGAGAGGAAAGAACATGAGCACCAGTGGCCATGCGATCAGATTAGGGAGACCCAGAAGTCGGTTATAATACTTGCTCACTAAAAGAATGGCTAAGTAAAAGAGAGTGGAGCTCAACAAAGGAAGTTGACACGAGTTGCCAGATTTGAGTCGTCTCCCTGATTCTGCAGGAAAGGAATATGCTTAGAGGAGAACGTGACTGTGCACCACAGCTGTGAGTACCTGTTGAATGCAAGATTCACTTACTGAACACAAGCGTGCCTTTAGCATTTTGGATGTTTGTGTGTGTTTGGTTAAACAATTTAAATTTTGCTTGATTTTAATTTTGTTTGTTTTTATGTTTCAGGTTCGTGGGAGTAAAGGTGAGGTCCTTTATATCCTGGATGCGAGCAATCCACGCCATTCTAATTGGCTGCGGTTTGTCCATGAGGCTCCATCACAGGAACAGAAGAACCTGGCAGCCATCCAGGTAGGTTTGGTGAATTCCTACTATTTGCTTTGTGTAATTGATCTACTAATTTGATCTCCTCTTTGGTCTTTATCTCCGGCAGTAAAATTGCAAGATTTAAGAAAAGTGGCAAACTGCTTTCCTTTTCCTACCTTTCTTTTCAGAAGTGAATTCTTGTGCTTAAATATAACACCATAAATAAGATTGATAGAATAAAGCACCAAAGAGGTACTTAGGAAAAGTGCTAGTGAAGTCCTAGCATGTAGTTCTGTAAAAGTTGCATTATTGCTGTTCTTTGCCCTGCCCCTTCCTCACTATTTGTACTCAGTGGGACTTAACCGGTAATTTCAGTTTCTGTGTTGATGACCTGTCCAACTGCTTAAACCTGATGCTCACTAGAGCGACTGGTTTGCTTATTTGGATCTTAAGCAAGCACTGCCCAGTGAGGTGGGTGCTGCCAATTACCCTGCAGACCTAGTATTAGCTTCTGTTCCTGTTCCAGCTGTGAGCTTTCCTGTGCTTTCCATTCCACTGTTGTATTTCGTACTATGCCTCTTCTGCCTGGCTTTTCTTCCATTATCACAGTTGAATGCTACTGTTAGCAGTGTACTGTGTTGGGAAACTTATGTGCTTATCCGCCAACCATTGCTTGATTTGTGCCTCCTACTTTCCAAAGCTCTAGTATTACTGAATGTCAGTCTGTGACATTCCATCACAGATTGATGGCTGAGCATGACCACAGTTTTGCTGCCTACACTGTTTTCTTGGACCTTGTTGCTGTTCCTGTTTTAGGTCACTGTTGAACAGCTTTGTCATCTGCTTTTTCTCTGAGCCTGTACTCTAGGTTGACTTTGGGTTGGACCTCTTTAGGTCTTAACATCTAGGCTACAGTTGAATTTTGAGTAACAGATAAGAAAAAGTGTTCGCCATTCATTCAGCAAAAACTTGTCAGCAATGACTGACTGCTTTATTATGCTTTTCCTGATGTCTGTGACAAATCAGTGGTTAATAACTGAAGTTACTGCTGCTTATGCACTTATTTCTGTATATTTTCCTTCATTTTGGTCACTCAGGTATACCATGATCTATCAAAAGATTTGTTGTCCTGCTTATAGTACCAGAGGTCCTCAGACATGAGAAGTCCCAGTGGTTAGCAGACAGGCAGTGTGATAGCAATGTACAGTCAATGTTAGCAAATGCAAAGAAAGGGTAACAAAATGTTGCCTAAATTTTTAAACAGTGTGAACAACTAATGTTCATTATTATATTTTAAATAAAGCAATCAGTAAAATTATCTGTATTTCTCAATAGAAGCCATAATAGAATATCCAGTGCAAAACTGTTTTTTTTGGTAATGAAAACAATTACTTAAATAAAGAAATGGAAAGAGACTTATGCTGTATCACGTAACATTGTACCTTGCTTAGAGTGTGCTTAGTGCTTTTTGCACGTCTTTTAAAAGGATCATACTGGAGTTAAAGGATAGCTGAAAAAGGAAAAAGAGTGGCAAGAATATTAGTCCTGTGAAAGCTTCCACAGAAAAATATTTAGAAAAATTACAGAGAAAAAATAGAATAAACACAATCAGCATGCACAAAAATGTTAAAAGGATGGGGAAAGCAAACTTAGGAGAACAAACAAAAAATTTATCTCATAGGGTGTTTTTTCGTATTGTCAGTACTCAGCTGCCAAAATAACTTGTGTATTCCATGCGACTGACCTTGAAGCTGTACAGATACGTATATACTTGTAAGTATTTAATTGCATATAGCAAAAATAGGTACTACTTGTGTTGAAAAAAGCTGAGTATGAGTGTATTTCTTTGCAGGGTTTGATCCCATTCAGTAGATGGTAATGCAAATCCCAAAGCTTATTCCTTTAGGAGAAAAAAAACCCCAACCACAAATCCTTCATTATTTTAATTCCACAGTCTTTTCCATTAATGATAAGCAGATTTAAGGCCTCTTGGTGCAACAGCACATTGTTTTATGAAAAAAAAAAAAAGTGGGCAAAACATTGGTGGAATGTTTCCACTAACGATACCTTTTAATTTGAATTGAGAGTTGCCAGCTTTCCACCAAGGTGATAAAATTATATTTTACAAAGAGCAAGAAGTTATGAATTACATCAGTAAAGTTGTTCTAGTTTCATTAGCATTACTCAGTTTACTGTGGCTGTGAAAAATAGTTTGTATCAAACATAAAAATTCCTAATCTTAAGCTAACTGAATCAAATAAAATACGTCTGCATATTTATAAAAAGGACTAATTTACTAGGAGGAGACAATAGAATAGATGGGTGGAGGCTTTGTGTCTTAACTAGCACATTACAATTACCTTTCTGAAATGCAATTTTTCTCCAGAAATTTGTATCTTATGAAGACTGTTGTGATGTTGCCTACATTTTTAAACAAGTATTTGAATTTTCTATCTCAGTTCTGCTGCTTACTCTTTAAAGCTAATCTTTATCAGGGACTCTCACAAGTTAAAAATTGTTTCCTTGAAAATATTTGACTGAGAGTAATGATATGATAACCTATAAAATGTGAAAATAAAGCACAGTGGTAGAATGCGGGGTTCTCTTGCTTGTCCTAAGTCTGTTTGATGAATGCTTAAGAACTTCATGCTGCTTGTGTGCTTCAGAGCTGGCCCTTTGCAAATTTCTAGAAGACTTCATACGAACTAACAAAAACGTGAAGGGAAAATAATGATTTTTTTTTTGTTTATACCCACTAATGATAATGCCAACTAATTATCTTTCCCACTAGTTTTCTTTCCAGTTTCCAAATACTCCAAGGGTCTTCTTGGTCTGCTCTGAGAACATTTCCAATCACTCTAACAGTAGCTACATATTTCCTGGATTGAGGTTTCTGCCCTCACAGACATTGCCAAGGTCGGTTTTACTCTGGGTAGCCTGACACCCTGGAGCTGCAGGCAAAGGTCAGGGGAAACTTGGTAAGGATTAGGAAGGCTGGCTTTGAGCAAGCTGGTCAAACTCTGGAGGATGGACAAGCCCTACTCTTTCTAAAGTAACACAAGGCTATCTGCTTATTCCTATGTTTTCAGCTTTCAGGAGTGATGACATACGTCTTACACTTTTGGATGGAAGTGTGACAGGTTGTGAATGGTTCCTGGCCCATGTTCCCTTTCAGTATCCCCTCTTACAAAGCACATGTGAAGGTGTGTAACTATGGAAAAGCCAAGAACCTGAGTGAGATATGCCCGTAGTGGAGCAACAATGGGCTAGCAGAGCTGTTGGAACAAGAAGACTATTTGCTGGGAGGTCCGTGTGGCTCAGAGCTTAGAAGATAACATTCAAGGCAGAGGATGAGAGAACCAAAGTGGAACAATAAACCAAGAAAAGCATGAAGGGAGGTTGTGATGCCATCACGACCAGCACTTGGAGTTTTCTCCTAAGGACCATTGTGGCTTGCTGCAGATAAACATGGTTAGCAAAACAACTAGTGAAACAACCAGCGTGGCCTAAGCAGATAGGCAGGGGGAAAAACTGCAGATGAGTTCTTAGAAATGGGAGGATTATTGAAGTTATTTAAAAGATTTCTTGCTACATTCACTGTCTCTGCATGCATGTACGTAAATGTGCTTCATTCAGGAGCTGCTGGTGGGAGGAGAGACTTAAATTCCTTTGTGGTTTCTGGAGATACTCCATTGATTTAGCTGAAAATGCTGCCTTGGGGAGCTACTACAGTGTGGGTGTATCTGGATTAATTAGTGCTCTGAATACCTGATTATTAGCATTTGTTTGTCTGGAACACCCAGACAAATTAGCCTTGGAGGAGAAGTGAGTTTGAGCTGTGTTTTAGTGTGGGCTGGCACCAGAGCTAATTTCTTTTCAATGTAAATGCAACCAAGAGCACTCAAGCATTGAGAGTCCTTGCTCCTTCTTCCGTTACTCTCTTTACTATTACTCTCTTTGCTAACCGAAAGTATGCAAATGGGAAAGAACCAGTCTGTTCTTAGGCATGAGCTATAAAATAAGCCCTGGATACACGTAAGGCAAGTACAGAGATGGTGAGGATGTAACAGTATTGATAACAGATTGGTTGTTGGGGTTCTTGCACTTGGTCTAGGTCTTAACACTTGGTCTAGGTTAACCTGAATAATTCTGGTTGCTGGTTTTCCAGATTTACTGTGTGGTGTAGGGTGTGTCACATATGACTTAACTGAAAGGTGTACTATTTGGTTCCTTAAAAGAGTAAGTTTGGGGTTTAATTTTTGTCTGGGATATGTGGCTTTTTCTTCTTATTTATTTATTTATTATTTCCTCCCTTTGGCAAGCCATTAATAGGTGCGTAGTTCCATTTATAAGGTTGCCTTGCTTTTAGCATAAGGTTGTACTAAACAGTGATGTACTGGAGGTTTATCCCAGCAGTTTTATCCTAAGTGGAGACTGAGTGTAGAAAGACCTTTTCCTTCAAGAGTTTCACTACGTGGTTTGAGTTTAGACTGTAGCAAATAAAGGGATCTGTGCAACTTGACAGAGGCATATGAAACCAGCAACTCTTGGATGTATGCAGAAGTTAGGGTGGCATGCTGATAGATATCTGGACTGCAGAATATATCTTGAAAGAAAAATGCATAATTTGTTTTTTTCAGAAGCTGCTGTTGAGATAGGGACACTTCAAAGCAGCAGCTGTATCAAGTCTATTGAGTTAAATAGGTTTCACTCGTGTGACGTCTTGTATAATATACAACAAACCTTCTAAAGCTTGAGAAATACTACATCCCTGTTAACAGTTTAAATTAATCTTAGGCTATTGCAAAAAATAAAAATCATTATCGTGTCCTTGTGCTAGGAATCTTCTTGCAAAATATATGGCTACATGTAAAGAAGCATCACATAACTTTTCTGGATGCTAATCAGAGAAGCTTTAGGATTTATGGTAGAACTTTGAAACCTTAATTGCATGAAAAGAAGTCTCCCTTGGTACTTTGGTAGTACCTAGAGGAGTTGGTTCACATATGGGAAGGAAAAAAAGCAGCAATGTGTATCAGTTTAGGAGGGAGACAGTTTTGTTGTAGAAGCCCTTCTCATGTCCCTTACTCAGCCCCTGTGCCAACCTCGGTAACTTTAAATAGTCAAAGACCAAAGTTACTAGCTTATGTATCTATTTGGAAGCTTGTTTATTCACTGCGGTGAAGGTTTTGGAGCTTATTAGTACATAGCTTGACCTCTTGTACAGAATCTGGGCTGGATCTTTGACCTTCTGTGGATCTGTGAATCTACACGTATTTAAACCAGCAGAGGGTTTTGATCTAGTGGTTTAAAGTGCGTTTTACAGATGTTCCTGCTAACTTGATAGTGAAGATAACTGACGAGGGATGAAAGCCTCTTCATGAAAAAGGCTGGGAATCTTAAGGGGAAGAGAGACAAGGTAAATAAAAATATGTGAACATGCTGCTGAAAGCCGGTTATATAATTTATGCAGCCAGCAGCAAACAGAGCTAAAGCTGTATTGGTTATTTAAATTTGGTTATTTTTCTAATACTCAAATGTTTCATTTTCAAACTTCGAAGTTCTTGTCAGGCAGAGTGTTTTAGGAGAGGAGGACTTTCGTACCAGCTTCACCTTGGTGTAAGCTACGATACCTATCGGAAAAGCCTCACAGGTGAGGCAGGGGGATATTTCCAGAATACAAGGATGCTTTATCCATGCAGCCACCCTGGGAAAGAAGTCTTAGAAAGGCACTTCTAGCATTGTGCTCCCTGAGGAATTGAGCCATCCCTTCCATAGTTGAAGGCTAATACTAGTTCAGGGTCCCATACTTATCTCTAGAATTTACTTTTTCTGACATAATTATTTATTGCTTCTACTTACTATTTGCTACAGGAAGGGGAAAATATTTTTTATCTGGCTGTGGAAGATATTGAAACAGACACAGAACTTTTGATTGGATACTTGGACAGTGACATGGAAGAAGAGGAGGAGGAGGAAGAAGAAGTAACAGTTACCCAGGAAGATGAAGGCAGTGGCAACAACAAAGAAATGCAACCAGATGGTGAGAAAGTTGCAAGTGAGCAATGTTTTAAAGAAGGGTAACTTGGGAGCTTAAAAGAAGAAAGAACGCTAATTGCATAGGATTGGGGAACTGGAAGCTCTTGTATGACTTTTATCTGTCTATTTTGATTTGAGTTGAGGTTCTTTTCTTTGCCTAATAGGAAGCAGCCAGTCCTGTGAATTAGTGAGCGAGTGAGCCTAGATTTCATGAGAAGCTAACATTAATTTTGGAACTAAATACAGAATTCATTTCATTTGATATACAAGTTTATGGAAGTTAAGCTTTTGCTCTAAGGGGGGTAGTGTCCCTTTTATTAGATGGGAGAGCAGTAAAACTTCTCATAAAACTCTTCAGCCAGTCCTAAGGTAAAATGGGTAAAATAAGGTAAAAAAGAAAAGGTGAGCTGTTTGGTGAGTTCTCAGCATCTTTACCAAAGTAGAGACAGTCTGGATGAGTAACTTGGGCTAGCAGCCTAAATCACACCCAGCTTAATACTTCGCATCCATTTGCAATTATATTGGTGGTAATCCACTCAAGATAGGCTATGATCTATTCAGAGACAAATGTGTTTTGTGAATTTTGCGATTCCATTTTGCATGTAATGTAACTAAAATATTCCTTGAAAACTATTCAAAAACTATATTTACTGGTTTTCCTTCCAATCATGCAGATCCCCTCACCTGTAAAGAGCATGCATGCCCAAACTGTGAATCCAGTTTTGCTAGCCAGGAGATTCTAGCTGAACATCTTCAGGCTTTGCACCAAAAACCCAGTGAGGAAAAGGAATTTAAGTGCCAAAACTGTGGAAAGAAATTCCCTGTGAAACAAGCTTTACAAAGACAGTAAGTAATACCAGGAGTGTTTTTTTTTCAGGGATTACTTAAATCAATTTCATTCAGTCATTTATTTCTCTTGGCTTAATCACTAGTTAGTAGTTTAGGAGGTGTAATTTTTAAGCTGTGAATGTCATTACAGAACTAAAGAACAATTTAAAAGAAAGTAGGTGGTGATCTAGGAGGACAGAAAAAGGGGAAAACAGTGCTTCATATTTGCTTAATTATTTGGGTGATTGAAAAAAAAACACAATTTGAAAAATGAAAGGCATGAGATTTAAAAGCACATCTACTGTCCTTGATAGTGTAAATGTGCAATTTTGTCACTAACGTAATATGTGTTACAGTTACACTTTTGTACAAAACCATAACTGTTTGTCTTTTGTATATGTATTTTTCTGCTTGCATTTAAATAGATCTATTACTTATACATTTAATTACAGGTAGTACCTTAAATGCTTAAGTGATTATGGGTAGTATGTTTAATTTATCTTACATTGGAACAACCAGACTCATATTGCATATGTACCTAAGGCTGCTCTTGTAATAAGTTGGTCTTCCTTACATCTGAATAATGTGAACATTCCCAGAACTGGCAGCAATACTTGAACTCTTGTTTTCTTTCATGGAAATAAAAAATGCGTAGCAGAGAAGTATTTGCTGGAGGCAGTTAGCAGAGAAGTATTTGTTGGAGGCAGTTAAACAGTTTCTCTTGAACTTAAGACTTGTTCCTTCTCATCTGTAGTGGAAGTTGGATTTGTGCTGTATAGCTAGTTAGGTAAATATTTACAGCATGTGAAGTAAGAATGGTCTGCATGAGGATACAGCAGTATGATCCTGACTCTTGCTGTGTATGTATTTGATTAGTCCCACTAAGTTCCAGGAGACTTCACACATGAAAGAGATTGTTCACCTACTTGAGTGCTTGTAGAGCCGTATATTTTTTTAGGTACTGCAAGCCTGTGTAAGTTGTAGAATGTTCCCCTTACTTTGTTGTTTTTATTTTTCCTTAGTGTACTTCAGTGCACAGAGAGTATCAGCCCAGGAGACACTTCAAGAAGTTTTCAGTGCTCTGTTTGCAATACTTCCTTCAGCTCAGAATCGAGGTTTTGTGTCTGAGTTTCTGGACTGCTGTCATATCATTACTGGCCTCCTTTTGCATGTTAGCTTTCATGCTTGTTAGTTTCTGTGAATCCTAACAGTGAAAGAAGTCAAATGCTTTCCTTTCTATTTGCTGTAAGTAATGCATGAGGTGGCCGCATAACTCTGCAGTGCAGCATATGTTAAGCTCAGAGTACTTGCTGTGTGTCTGTTTTTTTGTAGGTGCTGCTTGATGTGTTGCCTTTTTGTTTTGTTTTGCTTCGGTTTTTTTTACTGGTTATCCCATATAGTTACGAACAGCACAAGGAGGCATGCAGAGGGGATGCCAGGTTCATATGCAAGGCAGATAGCTGTGGGAAGAGGTTCAAGAGTAAGGATGCCCTGAAAAAACATAAAGAAAACATTCACAGTGGTAAGACATTTAACATTTCTTTGGGAAAAAACTCTCTTAACGTGTAACTAGCCTTAAATTTGCAAATCAGAGTAAACATTATCTTTGGTTTCTTTTTTAATGGATTCATTTGTTTCAAAAAGAAAATTGAAAACTAATTGCAAGAGTTCCTCCCCCAGGGAGAAATTACTCTATACCAGATGAATCATTAATCTACTGCAGAAAATGTAATAGGAATCTGGGGAAGTTTAAACAAGGCAAATAATAGATAAAGCAAAACATTTCAGTAGTGAGGAAAATCAGCCACTGGCACAAACTGCTACAGGAAGTGGTGAGTTCTTGATCTTTTGGTTTTTTTGGGACACAATGGGATGCCTTTCTGGAACATATGCTTCACAAACGGTTAGGCTCGATGAGGGTATGGCATAAAATTCTGTAGCCTCTGTTGTGCAAGAAGCCAGACCAGACAGTCAGATAGTCCCTTTAGGCCCTAGCATTTTTGTATCTGGGCACTATGAATCAATACTTTTCAATCAAACTTCACTCTATTTCAATGAAAGGGCAAAGACTGCTCTCAGGTTCATAATGCAGATCTCAGTTCTGGCATTCTGCTTTCTTTGTATGTCCCCTCTCAATATCACCGGAAGATCAGTATCTGTGAGGACAGCAAATTACCAGAGTGCAAAGAAAAGTATTTAGTTGATGATGACAGCACTGAGATGCTTTGTAAGATTTTCATTACTTGAAAACTCTTTTTTTCTGCCAAACTTCCAGTGTAAAAAAACCTCTTCCATTACCTTCCTTACAAAAGATTATCTGTTTTTTTCAGTATCAGTAAGGTATTTTTTAATCCATGAGCATTATTATATTTAGGCTTAGCTTTGGCCAGTTATGTGGTTGTATAGAAATTCCACAATTCTTTTGAATGATCACTTCAGACATGACTGAGAGCAGATGCCTGAAGGATATTTTTGCTCTTCCTGCACAATGAGCAAAGCTTTTATTTTACCACTGGGGAGTCGTAGAAATCAAGTCTGGTGTCAGTGCAGGAAGGAAGATAACCTACTGCTGTTGAGGGACCCTTACAGAACCCCTTCTTGCCGTGTGTCACTGGGAGGCAAGGGAAAGTAGAAAGGATTTTTACATGTGTTGCCTGTTAGATAAAGCTGTGAACAGATATTCATTATCACCTTCCTCTCCTCTGAAAAGGTCTTATAAATGTTCTTGTAAGTTGAAGTGTATTAGTTTATCTGTGGGTATATCAGTATATGTAAATACCTGTAAGTTTTAGAACAGCAAAAGCATATGTGAGATTAAGTTGGAGTTTTTTATACTACAAATTTAAGTATTGAACCAATTGATTGTAGTAAGAAGAAACAACATAATATGAATTCAGGACAGCAGGAGGAGGAAGGATGTAGGATGCTAAGAGTCTTGAAAATTGAGCTGGAAGTCATCTAATGAATCAGTTTCTGATCTATACTTCCTTTGTGCTTGACTCCTCTTCCATTCTGTGTCCATTCTTTTTACCTTTGTTTATATAAGTTAGGAAATATCTTGCATGGGCATGTAATTCTAAACAAAGAATTAGGTTTGTGGTGACTTTGTCTTGCAATAAAACAGCTTTGTGGTTACTAAAATGAATTTCAAAGTGTAAGTAATAGACAAGCCCCATTAAATGTTCTGTCACCTTTTGAAACAACTGTGGAAAGGGAAGGAAAATACATCCAGTAGCTGACCTGTAGCTTGTTGTGTAATTTACATTTTAGATGAGGTTTTAGAGGTTTCAATTCATGATACAGTTTCCTTGTCTCACTCAGTTAAAGTCCATTAAAGGTATATTATTTTATATAGTAGAAAGCTTAATGTTTTTTGAATAAAGAAAAAATAAGAAATGGTGGTTTTGACTTCAGTTTGGGAACTTTTTTTTTCACTGCTGCACGAACTCCTGAATTGACATCTGGAAGAAATCAACAGTTGTAAAGTGAGTTGTTCTTAGTTGTGAATTATGCTCTTCATATTGGATTGGTGATGTGTGATAACATGTATTAGAAGGATTTTTTCTTTATTGTTCTAGTTTTCTTGGTTTACATTCCATCAGTAACTGGTTTGTTGAACACCCACAGAGAACTCCTGATTTGAAACACTTTGAAGATGAGATACAAACAAAAATCTTATGTCAGTCAGATGACCTGTGAAAAGTCACAGACTCAGTAGAAATATTCAGTTTCGTTCTTAGCACTTCCTTTTTTAGATGTTGGTGGTAGTTTATTTCTGTTTCAGGACATTCTAGGAAGAAGCTGATGTGTTCAGTGTGCAATAAGAAATGTTCCTCAGCAGCAAATCTCCAAGAGCATCGAAAGGTCAGTAAGATGAAGGCTAACTCACAGCAGGCTTTAACCACTAAGATGGTGCTTAGGTCACTTGAAAGCTGCTGTAATGCAGACCTTTGCGTAATCTCTTTCATGGTTACAGAACCAATGTATTTTATTGCAGGTATTTATTTTTGTAATCACAATCAGATAAACCAAAATCTTCTTAAAGTTTTAATTCATCTTTTACCAAAACCAAAGATGTTTGTGCTTGGATCATTTATGCATTCCATCATTAAGTCAAAGTTGCCTGCTGTTCTTAAGCATTCTTAAGACACTAAGCTAAATGTAGAAGTGTATTATATACAGGATTCATACAGATCATAAAATAAGCTCCTGAGCCTTCAGGTTTTGTACAAAATACAGTCAATCTTTCATATTAACTTTGTGACATACCATTAAAAGGGTTACTTGTAATTTAGTTATGCCGTAGTAAATTTTTTTCTCCTCAAAACCAAATTGTTACTGTCTTCCTGTTTATACCCCTAATCTTTTATAACCAGAACAGGAGGGGTTAACAATTTGAAAAGCATCTGTTGCAGATAAATACAGATGGACTATGACTATGAGATTCTGAATCCATTGTACCCAAAGGAAGTCCCTGCAAGGTTAATTTGAAAAGTTGCTAAAACCCGGGAGATTCTGTTTTTACAAAAAGATACATTGTACTTTTTATCAGATTAACTGTAAGTCTTTAATAACGCCCTTGTTATAACCTGAATTATTGAGAAAATGTATGATATCAATTAAAATATGTTGTTGCAAAGGAAATGGTGGCCCCCTCCTTTTAGTTTGCCTTTCTTCTTGCTTGTATTACTACATTTCTTGTGTAACAGAGCTATATTTTATTACTCCTCAGGCCAAATCTTGGTATGCCTTGGTATGCACATGTAATTGCAATTTTTACACATCCAGTGCACCTTATTTTGGTCCTGAAAATAAAAGATACTATTGTTAGGGTGTGCATTTCATGAAAATGTTTGGTTTGTTTCTGTGCAGATTCTCTGACACACACTAACAAGCTTTTCAAGTAGCATTGATGGTTGCTCAGGTGAGCACTTACTCAGCTTACGAATCACCATGAAGATTTTATGCATAAAACTTTTTTTCCTCTTCTTTATTGGCTCCTCTTTTATGACATCCAGTAAATAAATATTCTGGATTCACACAGCTACATCAGATAGTGATGGAGATGGCACGTAGGACTTACGACTTCTGTTTGCTTGATTTACTTTGCATTTCTAGGTGTTGGGGCTAGATCCATCACAAATATTGCCATAAATATTTCGACAGGCAAAAAAAAAAAAACAACCAGTAAGAAAATAATGAGTGAAACAGATAGGAAAAGAGATTTTTTTTTTCAGCCATTTCCAGTCAATGTAAAGAAATAAAAGTGGAGAATATAAAGGTAAAGTATACGAGATAACAGAAAATAAGCCCAAGCAGCAGGGAGAGAAATCTGACAGAGAAAGAAGGTAAAGAGTGTGGCTATAGGGAAGATCTGAAGAGAGGGTCATTCAGATCGCGATCTTTCATGTCATCTTTGATTTAAACTCATTTTTACCTATGTATGTCTGTGGATTGCTTGCACCTTAAATGTCTAAAGATAAGCCCCTTCTCATCCATGCACAATTAAACTGCTGTTGTCATTGTCTGTCATTTAGTCTTACCTTGTTTTCTAGACTGTTGCTTGTACCATGCTAATTTTGTGGTAACATGACTTTTTTGTTTGTTTGTTTTGTTTAACCTCAATAAATTCAAGGTGGTACAGGGCTGGAAAAGATCTCTGGAGGTTGTCTAGCCCTCTGGTTCACAGAAGGAAGTAACTATATACATAAATCATTCCAGATACGTGCTGTCTCATCTCCTGAAAAGTTCCACTAAAGAAAATTCTACCACCCCCATAGATGTCTCTTTGTATTCTCTCTTTCAGCTTTACTGCCATTAACTTTTTTGCAGTATTAGTCCAGTGTTTGTTTTTTCTGGTGTTTACTAAAATCTTCTTTACTGCAAATTAATTGCTCTTTGTCTTACCTGAGAGAATGCTGAGAAACATTCACCAGAGCCTTCTCTGTAACAGCACATTGCAAAGTTGTTCTGAACTCCATTTGCAATTTCTAAGCTGTACAAGCACACAGAATCATAGAATCATAGAATAGTTAGAGTTGGAAAGGACCTTAAGATCATCAAGTTCCAACCCCCCTGCCATGGGCAGGGACACCTCGCACTAAACCATATCACCCAAGGCCTTGTCCAACCTGGCCTTGAAGACTGCCAGGGACGGAGCATTGACAGCCTCCCTGGGCAACCTATTCCAGTGCCTCATCACCCTAACAGGAGAGAATTTCCTTCTTATATCTAATCTAAACTTCCCCTGTTGAAGTTTTAACCCATTACCCCTTGTCCTATCATGTCATTCATGGCTTGACTTCGTGAACGAAGATTTGGGAAGGGCATTTACCCACGCTTACTACAAGCGCGCTGATGACTAAGAAGGCCAATGTGGGATAGGCAAATCCGGCTACAAAAAGCACAGCAGAAGGTCTCCTTGGGTGGAACAGGTGGGACACGATTCTTCCTGCGTTGTCTTTTCTCCTCGAGACTAGTTCTTCGTGAACTCTCAAAGGAGTCAGCGGCATTATGTATGGTGTGCCTCCAAGTCTCCCGATTGGAGGCCAAGGTGGACCACTGATGGTAGTCAATATGGCCAAGGCTAAGGTATTGTTTCAGGGAGTCCTTGTATCTCTTCTTTGGGGCACCTCTCTTGCGGCTACCAGTGGCAAGTTCACCGTAAAACACGATCTTGGGGAGGTGGTGATCCTTCATCCTAGAGACGTGCCCTGCCCAGCGCAGCTGCAGTTTCAGCAATGTGGCCTCGATGCTGGTGACCCCTGCCTGTTCGAGGACAGTGACATTAGACACATAGTCAGTCCAATGGATGTTTAGAATTGTACGAAGGCAGCGCTGATGAAAGCGTTCCAGGAGTCGCAGGTGATGACGATAGATGACCCATGATTCAGACCCATATCACTACAGTCCCTAATGAAGAGGTCCTCCCCAGCATCCTTATAGGCCCCCTTCAGATACTGGAAGGCTGCTATGAGGTCTCCATGCAGCCTTCTCTTCTCCAGGCTGAACAGCCCCAGCTTTCTCAGCCTATCTTCATATGGGAGGTGATCCAGTCCCCTGATCATCCTCGTGGCCCTCCTCTGGACTTGTTCCAACAGATCCATGTCCTTTTTATGTTGAGGACACCAGGACTACACACAATACTCCAGGTGAGGTGGCACGAGAGCAGAGGGGCAGGATCACCTCCTTCGACCTGCTGGTCACACTCAATCTTGATGCATCTGTTTTTCCAAACTGCTTTTTCTTTCTGTAAGCTTTTTCTTCCTGTGGATTAGCTTTTTTTCACCTATGTGTTTCTTGAAATCAACTACACAGACAAGAGCATTCATGTTTAGTTGAGCCTTTGGTAGTGGCAAGAATAGAAGAACGATTGTCCTAAGTTTATTAACACATAGAATATATTTATTAATACAGAATGTCAGTGCTTTCTGACAGTAGCCTCGATCTCGTTATTCATACCTTGGAATTCATTAATCTTTTCTGTAGTGGTGCTATGTATAAGCTGTTGGTCATCATTTGTGCATGTGATTTCTCCTTTCTAAATATTGGGTATATTGGAGCTTCGTTCAGAGTGTAAAAACTGGTTTGAATTCTCATCTTACTGAACAACCAGAACAGCCTCATCTACGTTTTCAATTTTATATTTGATTTCCAAAACTACTTACCATAATACTACCCTCCTGCATGATGCCTACAAAACTTTAACAACAATTATGGTGTGTGATGCCTGCAGAACTTGAACAGTTAGGATGTCGATCCACTGATCGTTGCTTATTTTGATGATCGGTATCTTTTTGATTTCCATTTTGTCTATCCACCTATTCTCTTTTGTCTTACCCTCCAATTGTAAAGTAACATCCTTCTATCTGGTATTTATAGTATTCTGTGCTGAGTGATATGGTAGTGTAACCAACCAAACAAACCAACCCTCAGCAAACACAACTAAGGCAATGCTGTGCAGGAGCTTACAGAAGACTGGGTAATAGAGTGAAGTAGTTTGTTGTAAAATCTTCTTTCTGCAGGTTTGTGATTTCTGCTGCCAGGGAAGATGCAACACCACCTGAATTATATTTTGATACTAAGCTCTGAAATTTAGGTAAAATGCAGAACTCTATCATTGAACAATGATAAAAGTGAATAATTAGGTGAGGAGAGTGTTGTCTTCATTGATGCAGATTATTGCTAAAGGGTTCCCTTTGTACCTTTGAATATAGCCACCATGTTTTGGATTTGAATTGTGCACAGGAACTTAAGCTTCAAAGCGAGCGTGTACATGTGAATAGCACAGGCTGCCAGGCCTCTCCACTGAGGATCTAATGTTCTCTAAGTGCAAAGGGAAGAAAAATTCAAACAACTCTCGGTGTTGGTGGTTTCTTTCCCCAGGGTTATGCAGTCAGAACTGATAGTGCTACACTCTCAGTACTTGTAGGGTGTGCGTGGGGTTATGTCCCTTTCTGGCTGTAGAGCTGTGAGGTGAGTTTCTGACTGTAGTTGTAGGCAGGTGTTTTGAATGGTAAAGTAGCGAATTCTTTTACAAGAAGGCAACTAAGGACACTTTTTTGACTTTGAAGAAGGTCATAATATGAATGCCTGTATGAAATGCGGGATTGTGCTTCAGTGGTAAGACTAGTTTATGCTGTTGGCCTTCTGGATTTCTTAGCAGATCTCTTATATGAATCTGTAAGGTTCCAGTAAAAGGCATGCTGTAGCATGGTCTGCTGCAGAGAAAATGACAGAATAAAGAAGGATTCTACTCATTGTTAGAACAACAATCAGAGATTGAGAGTGTTTTATTGTTCATGAAAAATCCTTGGTTCTTTCTTAACTTTTGTTGTTGTAGCTGGATTTAATGTAAAATTATGGTGAAGAGAGTCAGTCTTAAACATCATCTGTGATTCCCGCCCTCCCTGTCACCTTTTTTCATCTCCTAGTTCTGAGTGTCTCTCTGTTGGGTTTTTTCTGCCCATTTAACACTGGGCAGTGTTTAGTTCTACTCTGCAATTTTCATTTTTCACAATCACTATAAGAGCTATAGAAAGGTAGAAGAAACCAAATTTTGAACACCGCTTTAAAATAATCACTAATACTTCATGATTTCAGTTGGGTGCAATATTCTCATACCTGTGCTCTCTCAAAGCACTGCCTTCCAGCATATGGAGTCTCATCCAGTTCTTGGAGTGGTAGATTGAAATTCATATTAGTTTCTGGAAAAGCTGATCTTTGATTACTTGCATCTTCAGAGTTTTAGGTCAGTTGCTCCCCCAAAACAAATCACCTTTTGCTTTTCAGTAGACCTCATAAAAATTTTAAGATCATCAGTCCCGTAAGTGGAGTGTATTTATCTGTGCATATGTTAATCTTGTTCAGATGCTTGCTGTTTTGTATAGCTAGTAGTTATCTGAAGGTGTAGCTCTTCAAGTGCCTGTGGAAACCATTGTAAGTATGTTCTGACTTTAATGTAGCAAAGGTTTATGTTGATACTATTACAGCCCTCTAAGGAGACTAATTTTGTTACACAAATTATTGCATGAGCATTTGTCTGTGGTATCACAGCCTGGATGCTCATAAATCATCTTATTGGACAAGTTTCCTTACACTGAAAATCTGTTTGAATATAATTATTAATTAAAATAGTTGCTATATTATATTACTGTTGTTTTACCATGTAATGGTGCACTTTTCTAAAGAACTGATTAAAGAGTGCCAGCTATAGAATATGATAGCTACACCTATTTAATGCATGTGCATGCAAGTCTGTCTGATTCTTTTCTGAAAAGTTGATTAAAGAGTAGCAGCGATAGAATATGTACCTAATAGCTGTAGCTTTTGAATGCGCAAGCATGGAATTCTCTGTTCTGATGCAGATGTGTTCAATGAGACTTTTAAACCATGCTCGCAAGTTGAAATCAGACACAGCACAGTGGGGTTCTGATGTATTACTGTGTTTAAGAATACCTTGCAAGTTATTTCAAGTAATTGTGTCTGGGGGGGGGATTCTAATAGGTAGCACAATTATATAAACTTCAGACAACCATCTAAGTAAAAAATAAATTACGTTTACTTATGTCTTATTGACTAGAATGAAATGTTCTGAAAAGGTATTATGCATCTGTTTTTTTAATATACTTTCATAATAGTAATATTTTACATGGATCTCATACTGCAGATTTGCATGACCCATGTTTCTGTAGGTACTTTTAGTGATAATTTTTTTGTTTGTAATGATGAATATTTAGTTTTTGAGAGATACTATTGTTTACCAAGGGACTAGCAAGGGGGAAATCGCAGAATATTTATAAATGTGAGTATAGCTGCTGGCTAAGAAATAGTTACAGTCTGTTAGAGAATATCTGTATATGTAAGATGTGTGATCTTGTTGGAGACACATATTTAATTACCATTAAACACTTATTTTGTAGGTCCATGAGATCTTTGAGTGTCAGGAATGTGACAAGAAATTTATTTCAGCTAACCAGCTAAAGCGCCATATGATAACTCATTCAGGTAACGTACAAAGGTAACAGAAACTATGTATATGTGTATGTATATGTATTTAACATACATTGAATTTTACCTGAATTAGTTAGACTTTTATCTGAATTATTATCTGATAGAAGGATTGGTGAATTCTGTGTTGCCGTGAGCTGCTCAAGAAAATCTCACGTTCCAAGGAGACCATGTAAGCTATCTTCCTAAGCCTTTCAAAAACTAAGTGTAATAATATAGTCTTATTGCTGTTGCTGCTTTGTTGAGCTGTTTTTTCATGCTAGCTGGGATAGATGATGTCAGTTAGCTGGGTTGGGGCCTGGTTGTAGAGGAGGTGAAGAACCATTGGGTAAAATCTCATGTTGAGGAGAACGTGAGTTAGTGTATGGTGTCAGTCAGAGATCTGTGACCAAAAGACTACATTCATTCATACATATACATATTAGTGGACTCATGCACATAGGTTCCAGTTGAAGGAAAGTGGCTTGTACTCCACATGATTTCACAGACCACACACAACTGTTTCATTGTGCCTGTCCTCTTTTGGAACAGGTGACTGTGAGTGGGGAGTCGCCTGTCCATAGGTTTGGCAGTATGGTACAAATTGGTTGGGATTTCTGATCACTGCAGTCTAGCATTTCTAGTGATTAGAAACATCAGCTAACACAATGGAAACCCGAACATTTTTCTGTCAAATACATTATCATTTAAAATACACAGGTTTTTACAGCTGCAGAGGCTTAGAATGGAACTATTTTCTTGATATCAGTGTGCACCAAGAGCTCATTTCTCATAATCTGTAACTCAGAGGCTTTTAGCTTTCTTTTGACACTTTTGGATGAGCATTAATGTAGCTAAGTTGCAGTCACCAGTTGAAGCATAAAGGCTTTTTGCATAGGAACTTTTGGGTTTGAAAGCTAATATGTATATTGTTAAGTTTTAAAACATTTAAACTGTCACGCCCTCTTTCACATTTGTAATCTGGAAACGGAGTTTTCCTCTTTGAAGTCATTCTCTTTTGATTTAAGCTAATTAATCAGAATTTAGTTTTAGCAATAATTATTGCAAAGAATGTGCCAAAATCTTGAGATACACCATGGCTCATCTCTTGTGAAGTGACTTAACTGTCTAACATAAAGGGCATTAGATGCCTTTCTGATCGGTTTAATCTTAATTGGGTTGACTTAATTGCAAAAATCTCTCAGAGGAGATGACTGTCTCTGCCTTTCATCTTCTCCCCCTGTGTAAGCAGGAAATTAAATGTCCCCCACTCATTTTCTGCAGAAAAACGCCCCTACACCTGCGAGGTTTGCAATAAGTCCTTCAAACGACTTGATCAAGTGACTGCACACAAAATAATACACAGTGAAGATAAACCTTATAAATGCAAGCTTTGTGGAAAGGGATTTGCCCACAGAAATGTTTACAAGAATCACAAGAAGGTAAAGCACTCTGCTGTTGTTGTTTACAGGTCTGCCAGCCTCAGATTTGCAGATTTTTTTTCTTTTAAGTGGTTCATCATTAAGCTCTGGCATGCTTATAAACATGGGATTGACTTATTGGAGAATGTATTTTTTAGGTTTTTTTGTTATATCCAAAATCTCAAAATACTGAATGAATTCTAATAAGAAAAAAACCCACTACCAACCCAGTGAAATAAGCAGAGTATCACAGTTGCTTGGTTAAAAGCATCAAATCTCATTTTGACTTTTTTCCCCCTACTTTTTATCAAGTTATAATGTAACTGAACTGTCTTCAATTTTGTATTTATTTTAATACCATATTTGAATAAAACTAAGTATAGTCCTGTTGCAGCAGATGCTTTCAAACTACAGTGTATTTGCCCTGGGTAGTGTTCACACATTAAAACAACATCAGAAGAAACATTACCTGAAAAATAGGCTCGTGAAGGGGTACTCCATTTCTTTTGATTTAAGCTCAAATCTGCTTGGCCTAATTTCTGTAATGCCTGTCATTATTTTTAACCTCAGGTTAGATTTTTAATGGCTAGGCTATACCCATGACTGCTGTTTCAGAAATATGAGACTGCATAAAAAGGAAGAAAACTCACCCCTGATATACCCACACTTACAAGCCTTTCTCAGTTCAGCTCATGTTCTATGCCATCTGTGAATTTTGCACAGGATCTTTGCACCATCTCTTGCACTTTCAACCATAAATCATGTAAGAGTAATAATAATGCCTCTTGCAGGATGAAGTGGTGATGACTGTCTAATACAGAAAGCATGTAGAAGCCTGCTGAAGGACTCCCCATATTATGCTGTGATTGTATCTCATGTTTTAGACTTCATTAAGAAAATGGGGCAGAATCTTCCCTATTGGCAAGGATTTTAAGGAAATTATTTTAAGGAAATGTCCTATTTTAAGAAAAATGTATAAAACACTATCTGGAAAGATACCATCTATATCTTAAATGAATACTTCTTACATGTTTCCTTATGTTAATTTGCAGTTGATGACTGGTAGGGAGTTTGGGCTAAAAAGGGACTTCAGGATTAAGTGTGAATGTGTAAACACTGTGACCCAATTCTGTGCTTAAAGCGGCATCACCAGGAGCATAAGGAAGGATTAGAGGCTCCAATTAATAGGAATAATATTAAAATTTAGACAGATTTAGTGAGTATCTAATTTTGACAGAATTCCTTTAAGCATGTTGGAATACTTCCTGAACATATTGACACACAGTACTGGCAGTAAATCAATCCTTTCCTTAGGAAAGTAACTTCTCTGTTTACATAGAGTTTACCCAAACAACTGTGAATATTCACCCATCCATATTTAGGTCTCTGATTTCACTTGCTAAATGAGGAGGTGAGTTTGAGAGACAGAAGACTGACATAGATGTCTTGATTTGCTTTTTTAAACATGCCTTTCTCTGTTGAGTAAACAGTGTAATCAAAGAGAGGTAGTAGTTCATGGAGGGGAGCATGGATGCACAAAACCAGTTGTAAGGTTTAAGCCAAGGATGTGGTAGTTTGGGATGCCAAAATAATTTTAAGTGCCATAATTTCAGAAGGGCTGCACTACTGCTAGGGGAAGAGGATGATAGTTCTTCTGCTTATTCATGGGAATAGCAATCCAGTAACAGTGAAAATTTAAAACTTTACCATGTATCATACTACTGTATATTTCTTCAGCTTGGGATTTTAGTGATTCTTTAGGTGTGTATTCCGTTAACACGTCTTCCTAGGTTCCATTTTCTTTTGGAGGAAGAAAAGTTGTACTCTGAATTACTTCACAGTGCTTTTTTGAGTTACAGGATGCAGCTACTGTGCTAGTAGCAGGGAACTTAGAATCCTGCATTAGGAATGATGGGTATAGCGGTTAAAAATACTTAACCGCATTTAACAGAAAACATGCTTTCAAGTTTGATAGCAACACACTTGAAAAAGTGTTTTGGGTTTTACGGTAGAGCCACATAATTTTATTTTTTAATAAGAAACAGGATACATGCTCATTTTGTGCCTTTGAATTTTTGTGTTTTAGGTGGAAACTTGTTGCTGTTGTTTCTGGGATTCCTTTATGGAGGGTATTTTATGTTGGGAGTATCAGAGTAGAAATGACTCCCACAACGTGCTTTTAAACATCTTTCAGATATGGACGAATGTTGGGTCATTTAATCAGAAGGAGATTAGTTCCTCACATTTCACAGGATTTCACTGGGAGGTAGACGGTGGAATTGCTAAGAGTATATCTGCTCTGTTCAGTGGAGAATTATGACAGGAGCCCTAACTTACCACTCTCATAAGTCTTCTGTGGTACCTCTCTAATGTGCTGATTCTGCACACAAGTACTACACTGCTCAGTGTAGGGTACATGTGCAAACTTGCTTTGTCACTTCCTTGGAGATGTCAGCACTGGGAAGTGTTATGTGAGGTGGAACTAGCTCAGATGTCTTTTCAAAAAGCTCGGGCTATATGACCATGTGATGAAGAATATGATTCCATTTTTGGGACAAGGGAAGAGAATAGTATCTGAAATTGAGGCAAATGTAGTACTGGATTATGCTACAGGTAAAAGTAGTCAATGTTCTGTGCCATATAATGCAGATTACTTCAGTACAGGAGAAAGCGAAGTTTTTATTCCATCTGCTCCTTTGTGCTATGTATAGAGGATGAGTTCAGAGAATAAAATATGAGGATATAACAGTGAGCAGATATAGGTCAGCAGACATAGGATTTTAAAGGGTTTATGGTTAATCCAGGGTTATTTGGTCTCGGGGAGCATAATGAATTCGAACAACCCTATTCCCTTAGTTTCTCTATTGAGAATAATTGGGCTGGGTTTAAACTTCTACAAATGCTTTGTTAGGAATGGCAGATATGAAATATTCCATAAGAGCCCCTCCTCAGTTGCTTTGGTTGTACACCTGTCTTCTGCTCTGACTGAATGGAAGCCATCTCTGATCTGGAACATGTTAGTGGGACAAAACCGGACATTATTACAAGTAATATTGTTGTCTGGTGGGGATACCTCGCCTCATTAGGGCTTGCATGGCTTTTTGTGATAGACTTAGGTTGGTTTTGGACCACTCACAAAAGAGGCAAATGATCTCTGTATCCTTGCATGAGGGTATGCCTGCGTAGGTGCTTGTAGTGAAGTTAAGACGTACAGGTGAATATTGTATTTTGATCAAAAGACTAGGAGAACTGTCAAGGAGATGATAAGGAATTCTGTACAAATCTCCGGTCTTCAGAACTATCACTCGAGTGGTGAGTGTTCTAAACCAGGGCATTTTTTGAATAAGCAAGAGGAATTTTGCGCTCGTGAAAGGTGCCAGATTGACAGCCCTAGAGACTGAACCCTTCTATTTATCCACAGAACAGGTACAGAACAGACAGCAGCACTGCGAGCTTCCCCACAGTGTCTCATCAATATATCTCAACCCTGTTCTGGAGGAACCACCTGTTGAGGTGAGAAGGTAGTTCAGTCTCTTCATGTACTGTCAATCCTTGGCCTGATTTGTGAGATTGCCAGGCAGGATGTCGTCTGATGCAAATTGATATAAGCCTGTAAAATTTGGACTGAATAATTCAGCAGATTTTATGTGTGATACATTCCACACGTTTGATGATGCTTCAGTTGCCTTTTTGCTTTAAGTGACATAGGCTGAGATCCAGGGAATGACTTTGAATCCAAAGCTTCTGTATGGCATTGCAAGTACTCTAATGTTTTTGTACTCTTGTGTATGTAGGAGGACATTTGTGTTAAAATAAATTTAGGTTCAAGGTCCTCAGTCTACATCTAAATAATTACACTGACTACCCACAAATCCCCTTTTCTCCATAGTTTAAGGGATAGCTATAAATGTTGTATGGTGTTATGAATAGCAGAAATAGATTATCTAAATATGTACTACGCTAATATGTACCCTTAACTTATTTACGTAATTTTGTGCATATTATCAAACACTTACTGTCCTTTTTCCTCTTGGCACAGCAGCTTCTACTTAAGATCTAATACAAAGTGAGCTAATGCAAAGTTTAAAGTTGATTTCCTTTACAAAAATAGTAGGAAATTGGCTAGATAATAAATTTGTATGGTTCAATTTTCTACCTGCAGTGGGACAGCACTTAATAGCACTGGGAAACAGGGAAAGTGCTTTGAAATTTACGGAAGTAGAATGAAGCTGGTGTTTTAAGAAGCTCCAGAAAAGAAATCTGCTTCAGCAACTTTGCAGTTTGAGAGATTCATCCAAGCTTAGGCCCTTTTATTTTATGTATGACTTTGAGGCTGTTTCTCACCTATGTTAAGTTCTACAACAAAAAAAACCTCAGTACTGATACTCCTATTTATTTTTTTTTTTTTTTTGGTCTTTTAGTACAAGAAGCTGACACAAGTATATGTAAGACTAGGTTCATGATTTGAGAAATTTTCTTGGCCAGATTTTAGATACTGTCTTGAGATAATCAGATCTGATTTACCTTAAGACTTAACAGAGAGAAAGGTTTTTGTATATGTTTAGTTAGAATCATAGAATACTTAGGGTTGGAAAGGACCTTAAGATCATCAAGTTCCAACCCCCCTGCCATGGGCAGGGACACCTCACACTAAACCGTCTCACCCAAGGCTTCCTCCAACCTGGTCTTGAACACTGCCAGGGATGGAGCATTCACAACCACCCTGGGCAACCTCTTCCAGTGCCTCACCACCCTAATAGTAAAGAACTTCTTCCTTGGATCTAACCTGAACTCCCCCTGTTTCAGTTTGAACCCACCAGCCGTTGTCCTACCACTACAGTCCTTAATGAAAGGTCCCTCCCCAGCATCCTTATAGGCCCCCCCTCATAGGCTTTCAAGCATTTATTCATATTAGTAAGTACTTAAGGCCAGTGTGAGTACTGATGACACAGTGCAACTGAGCTTTTGTTGGTTTTTTTTTTTCCTGGTTATTCTATATTTTGTTTCTGTTTAAATGCATACCTCAGAAAACAGTTCTTGAGGACTGGAAAGGCATATTTATTCAGTGGCTGTTATGCTGATTTTTGGGATTCTCGATAATGGCAGAGTGATTGTAAGCTCTTCATCCCCTGATGTTTCAAATCGTTTGTGGTATTCCCTCCTGAATCCAGACTAGTGAATTAGCTATAATTATTGTAATGAGAGCTAATTGATTTCCTTGAGCCTTTCCTCTTACATGTTGTCTTTCATCTGCAGACCCATTCTGAAGAGAGACCATTCCAGTGTGAGGAATGCAAAGCTTTGTTCCGAACCCCATTCTCTCTACAAAGACATCTGTTAATCCATAACAGTAAGTGGTAAGAGAGGGAAAAGAACTTCCCTCAGTTTTCACATTTGACGGAGTAAAGCAGACGTATGGCACCTTGCTCCAGTATGCAATTTGGTATATTAAATTAGTATTGAGATTCAACTCTTTCCCCAGGGAGTTACAAGATTCAGAGCCAAGTTCAAAACTTGTATTTAAATGCACTTAAATGCAAATCCAAATATGCTGTATAAAATTTATCAATGACTTCAGGTCTGATGGCAGATTTATTTGTGCATGAAGCATGATAGCGTTACCTTCATTTTAAGAAAGAAGAAATGGAGGCAGGGATAACTTGGTGGCTTACTCAATTTTTGTAGGTAATCCTGTTTAGAGCTTGAAACTGAGATTCTCTGTCCTGTGCCAGATCAGTCTAATGTTTCCTGCCTGTGGCATAGAACTTGCAGCCAAGAGAAATGCTGTGGCCATTTTTCCACATGAGTAACTTGTTCCTGGCATTCTGTACTACTTTTTAACTGCCTGCATAAAGGTTTATTTTTGGTGGAATTTTCTCTGTCTTTGATATTGACAGAGCCCAAGACCACCATTCAACAATGTGAATATCAGCAGTTTAGAGTTTAGAAAATATTCATGGTCTAAAATCTTTGTAGCTTAGAAGGAAGTACTTTGATTTGGAGAGTATTTATGTTGGTATAATTAAGAACACCACAAAACTTTTGTTTGTCAGGCCCATAAATAGTGGTTATATTAGATGGATTGTTAGACGTGTGTTTAATTTATTTTACAATTATCTGTCAGAACTTCTGTGATTTCATAAAGCATTGAATTTAAACATTTTTTCTACTTTTAAATGTTTAAAAATGATGGCAGGGGGTGGGGTAGTTAAAAACCTGTTTAGCAATGTATTTTCTAATGAACCAGGCATTTGCAAAACGTCCAAAAGCAGTAAATTCACAGTGCACAGGATAGTCTGCCTTGGTAAAGGTCTCTCTAAAAACATATCTATGACTATTTTTGAAGAGGATGGGAGCTCAGCAAATTTGAGTTCTTTGAGCTAGGGTTATGATATGTGGAGATTTAGTTGTTCCTGAACCAGTATTTAAGCAAATACAAAACATATCAAACTGTGAACTGCACTGGCACAGACACTGTCTTGTCAGTCTTCCTTGATGCAAAGGGAGACATATCTGCTGACGTACAGAGTAGGTGTTTGAAGGTGTTAACTTCTATCATTATAGGTAAAACCACCTCCAAAATGGGTTCAAGCCTTAAACTGAAAAGACTTGCATTTTTATTAATCACAGGAAAGATTTTAAGAAAGATTTCTTACTTCTGAAACCACTCAACAACTGGGCAGCTTAATAAGGAGGCCTTAATGCAGCAGAATATAATCAAAGTTTTTACAGTCATACTGCATCTCTCATCTGTAGAGTCAAAAAAAAGATGTGCTGACAGACCAATAGCGAGGTGAAAGTCATTACTAGGATGAACTGAAGAATAAACAGCTTTTAGTTCAAGGCTGTGATTAAAACAAGGGGCTCTGCTGTTTTCTGAAAAGAGCTTGTGTTCCCAGAGAAGAAATGTAGAAGTCTTCTCATGGCCTAACTTGTGAAACTGAGAAGTTGTAATGACATGATAATGAGCCTTTCATATTGGAAGTAACTCAGAATTACTGGCATTGTCCTTCTGCAGCTGGATGGTAGTCCCTCTCATAGCTCTGAAATATACCTGCTCTAGAAAAAACAGAAGGGAAACAAACCAGAACTTCTAGATATATTTATCTGGCTTTACTGTGGTGTGCTGTAGGAAAGAAAAAAATTGTCTGTGAAGCTTGAAACTTGAAGGGAAAATTGAAGGTCATTCTACATAATTTTTTATTGTTTTTTAAATTCAGTATCTCCTTGTTGGTTTAGAGGCAGGCCCTCTGCAGAATGATGTACAATAACTTAAATTTTTTTTTAAAAATTAAATAGGCAGGAAAAATTCATATTTCGTAAACTAATTTTTCAGGTGTTCCTGTCTCGTAATTGGAAAAGGCATCATGAATAAAACTTTACAAATTGAACATCAACTATATCTAACTAACCAATAATAATAAAAATCCAAACTCTTCATTCTACCCTCCCTCCCCAGGCTCTAGTTGTAGAAATGCAACCCATCTTCTGAGAGTCAGACAAATTTTTTCTCCTAGGCATGCTGCTGATAATACTTTTAGTAACTGTGTTCTCATTATGTCAGTGCTGGGGCTAACCCTTTATTCTTAACTGTAGTGTTTAGGGAGGATATAAGGTACATAAGTGTGTGCTACCTCATACCTGGCTAATACTAGCTCATGAGGCCGTAAGAGACTTGGCTAACAAGAATGAGTAGTCCTGAGCATTTTTACACGGATGATTTAGTTATTTAGGATTGTGGAGACATGCATGAACATGACTGCATTTGTCAAGGAGGACATAATCCTCATTATGTATTTGCTTTCCAGTGTAAAAATTGGCATGCGGAATGTTTGTTATTAGGAGAAATACTAATTAGCTACTGCTACAGGGGTCAGCAGAACCGGGCACTGAAGATCACTCATTTAAAGTAAAGAATGTGTAGTCCTGATTTTCATTTTCTTGTTTTGTCATGAAGAGACTCATCAGCGGACTAGATAATGTCAGCCCCAGGAAAGATACATTATGTTGTGTATTCCTGGGGGAAAACACTGTAGGATATATTATGCTAGTGCTCTGTTTTCATCTTGAGAGATATTTATAAATATTGTTAACAGTTTCATGTCAGGTACTCTGAAAAAGTTTCCTGCCTTCAATGGTTTCAAGAGCTGAGTCAATGATAAACTTTCTTGTTTATTTCCGTTGTCTAGGGTGCCTAGGCCTGAAGAGAATCTATGTCTATCTTTTGCTATTTTATCTTGTAACAAACCTCTAGATCTATCACAGTGCAAACATGTTGACTGAAAATACAAAATGGAAAATCTTTATTTTTATACATTAATATTAGGAATATATTTGGAATCTTTAGTATTACTCTTACCTGCCAAAGAGTTTGTTTTTGGCAGTGATCATTCTTAAGTGTCAGATATGTTTTTACATTTATGATATGAAATTTTGTTCTTTATCACGATGAGGTATTATGAAACAGGTTGCATAGCAGGTGATCTTTAAGGTCCATTCCAACCCTAACGTTTTTATGATTCTGTGATTTCCAGAGCTGCTCAGGAAGCTTTAGTACATCTTTTTGCAAGCGGTTTTGATTATTGCTTTATGCTGTTGAGAAACCTTCAAAACCTCCTTGCATAGTTGTGTACTAGTGGTATTTTTAAACTAAGTTTTCATGCATCTTTATGGCTTAAAAAAAACCCCAAAACCAGTAAGGTGTAAAGACTGTTCAGTGAGCCAGCTTTGCATGGAGATAGTGCAATGTCAGATGGCTCCTCTGTAATGAGACGTAGGGTTTCTGCTAAATAAGGAAGCTGAGGAGAAACACTGATTATTTTCCTTCATCTAGAATAACACTTAAAAAAATAGCAAATTCTAGGCTTCGCATTGCTTTGCATGTTGAAGGATTTTGCTAAACTTTTAGCCAGAAGTTGGTGAAATACATACTTGGTGTAGTAACTATATATGTTTGAAGAGTATTATAAATTCAGGAAGATGTCTCTTACCATTTAAGTTTCAAAAGATTAAGCCTATTGCATCTTTTTGCTTGTTACCATAGAGTCTATTAAAGAGGTTCTGATAAAACCTGTGCTCCATCTCACTGTCAGGCATTTTCACTGGATGCCGTTTTGCCTTTGTCTGTAGAGTTTAATCTCACATTTCTGGCTACATTGTTGTCAGGACTACTTCGTCAATTTCTAAATGACATTTTTACCTGATCTGATGTTCTTTCTGTTCTCAGAGCCCAGCTTTTCATTTGTCTTTGCTGCTTTTATTCATTATTCTGAAACAGTAAGTATTAGTGTATTTGCATAAAAATATGATACCTTTAAGCACTGTTTTTCTCTTTATAAGGTGAGAGGACTTTCAGGTGTGATCACTGTGACGCTACTTTCAAAAGAAAAGACACATTAAATGTTCATATTCAAGTTGTACATGATGGCCATAAGAAATACAAGTGTGATCTCTGTGACAAAGCTTTTGTGACGCCCTCAGTCCTAAAGAGTCATAAAAAAGTGAGTAGAATAAGTGCTGTCATATTAATTTGTTCTGTGTCCTTAAGATGGTAATAAACATAAAATCCCCAGATGCTTCTGCATTTCTGGCTTTTCAGTAGAAAGCTATGATGGTGCTTCACATCCTAAAATGCTTATTGCAGTAGTGGGATTCTTGGTGGCATGCAGAATCTGTAGTGGGTGCATATGTATAAATCCAGTGTAAGTACTCCAGCATCTGGTATGTGGCTGGACTTGCTGCATTACTCTTGCCATACTCCTTCCTACTGATCTCTGTGGTGGAACTGGGGTAAACTTTAGAAGAAAACTTGCTTACTAGTTGTGCGTGAGGTAAGGTTTATGTTACAGCAAAGAAATGAGAAGAAAGTAATTGAATTGAGAACAAATCAGCTGAGGCATTGCCACCAAATGCAGATTGCAAGAGTTTATTGAAAAACATGATGCATACATTGTTTGCCATGTAGTATGCCCTTCATATATGCACGTAAAATTTTAGTAAGAAAACCGAGTGTAAGTGAATTGCTTAGTACAATATTTGCAGCACATAATTGTGGTGAGTCCTGTGCATTACAACACAAATACATATTCAAAATTGAGGAAAAAATGTAAGGGAGTCTTCTAGTGTCTCTCCAACCCTATGTATTACAGCTGTGGGAACTAATACACATCTTTAGAGCCTAAACCAAGTTACTGGCAGATAGTAGACTATTGAAATCTCTATGGTAATGGATGGCACTGTCTCCTTAATGTGCAAAAAGTATTTGCAAAAAGTATTGGAACCAACTATGCATGAGGTCTCTTTAGTTTCTTTGTGGTCTTTTAAAGATCTTGATCTTCCATTAAATGTATGTTAATGCATTTGCTGTCTGTCTGCCTTCAGTCTGTTTTAAGTGCTGCTTGTCCCATATTTAATATGCATTAAGTTACTTAGTAGTTATAGTTGCTGGAAAATAAAGCTTCTTGTGATTGAGTGACTTAACTGTGTAAACAAGATACATTCCTCTCAGATATGCTTAGTGGAAGATTTTTGCCTGTTCTTCAGAAGCGCTTAAATGACATGGGTTGCCTTGTTTGTAGACTGCAGTACATGTACTGTAAGATAATTGAGGTTCATTAATAACCAGGTTCATTAGTTGTTCAGCCTGTTATATGAGTTGAGTTTTGCTGTAACAGAGAGAGAACGTTATAAGATATTCTTTGGAGTATTAAGACACATTTGTTTCTCAAGCCTGAATATATTGGTCCAAGGAGCTAAAAACCAAATGGTATGCAAAATAAAATTGTGATTTGTTTCTCATTGTGTTCTTGGGGAGCAAGACTTCAGGGGGGGAATAGTATCATTCATTACGCAAACTGATTTCTTTGGGAAACAAGACTGCTTTTCAGACACACAATCCTTTTCATCTTTATCTATTTGTTCTAATCACTTGAGTTAACAGACCTAGCTTATAATGCTGATATATCGAGTTCAGATCCATTTTTTGTGAAAGATGGATTGTAAGATCCAAAAGTCAAAGTATTACCTGGAATCATTGAATTGCTCTGCATAATTTTTTAAAAATTTCGCTAAAGTCCTGTCTGAAAAATACAGTATAACTTACTATTTCACATTAAAAATGACTGTGTGTACTTGTATTTTAATGGAAAGTACTTGGTGTTTATTGTTTATCACTGTTCTCTCTTTGGCATTCCTTCTTAATTGTAATTGCTATTGCTCTATGCTGCTGTCAGACTAGGACTAGCTATATGTTTTTGAGCCTTTTAGTTGTACTGTATTGCTCCCAGAAATCCTTTCTGGTAGTTTGAAATGTCCTAAGTGAATATGGTATTCCCTAATATTGCTGTTAGAGAGAGAAGTAATTACTAAAGAAATCTATCCTAATCAAGAAGGATTTAACATTGATACCCCTAATGTTGGGGAATATAAATTGTGCAAGTGCATTCAGTGTTGAAATGACATATCATTTACTCTTCCTTGCCTCTATACAAATGCCTGTAGCATGGGGAACAAACAAGAGGAATTAGAGATGTGTGCACATCTACGGGGGTATGATATAATAGGCATCCCAGAAACATGGTGGGATGGCTCCTATGACTGGAGAGCTGGAATGGAAGCTTACAGGCTTTTTAGAAAAGACAGGCCCGGCAGGCGGGGAGGGGGAGTTGCCCTTTATGTTAGGGATAGGCTGGAGAGTATGGAACTCTGTCTGGGGACAGGTGAGCAGTTAACAGAGTTTGTGGGTCAGGGTTAAAGGGAGAACAGCTATGGGAGACATTACTGTGGCGATCTGTTACAGACTGCCTGATCAAGGAGAGCCTGCGGATGAAGCACTCTATAGACAGAAAGGAAAAGTCTAACGCTCACAGGCCCCTGTTCTCATGGGTGAATTCAACCACCCTGACATCTGTTGGAACAACGGTACAGCCCAGCACAAGCAATCCAGGAGGTTCCTCGATTCTGTGGAAGACAACTTCCTTCTGCAAGTAACAGAGGAAATGACAAGGAGAGGAGCCATGCGTGACCTTGTGCTCAACAACAGGGAAGGGCTCATTGGAAATGTGACGCCCAGGGCAGCGATCACAAGATGGTTGAATTTGAGATCCTCAGGACAGTGAGAAGATTGTGCAGCAAGCTCACTGCCCTGGACTTCACGAGAGCAGACTTTGGCCTCTTCAGGAGCCTGCTTAGTAAGTTTTCATGGGATATAGACCGGGGGGGGTGGGGGGGTGGGCGGGGGCCAGGACTGCTGGTTGATACTCGAAGATCACCTGCTACAAGCTCAGGAGTGTTGCATCCCAACTAGAAGGAAGTGCAGCAGGAGGGCCATGAGACCTCCTTAAATGGATAAGGAGCTGCTGAGGAAAATTCAAATGAAAAAAGGCTTATAAAAAGTGGAAGCAAGGACAAGTGGCCCAAGAAGAATACAGGGATGTTCTCTGGGAAGCTAGGGACCAGGTTAGGAAAGCTCAGGCCCACTTAGAATTAAACTTGGCTAGGGATGTTAAGGATAACAGGGAGGGATTCTGCAGGTACATAGCAAATAAAAGACAGACTAGCGACAACATAGGCCCCCTCAGGAAGCTATCAGAACTGGCTACCTTGGATTTGGAGAAGGCTGAGGTTCTGAATGACTTCTTTGCCTCGGTCTTCACTGGCAAAGGCTCTGACCGCACCACCCAAGTCTTGGAAGGCAGACGCAGGGACTGTGAGAATGAAGACCTTGGGCCCACTGTAGGAGAGGATATGATTCAAGACCATGTTAAAAATCTGAACGTGCACAAGTCCATGGGACCTGATGAAATCCATCCGCAGGTCGTGAAGGAGCTGGCAGATGAAGTTGCTAAGCCACTGTCCATCATATTTGAAAAATCATGGCAGTCAGGTGAAGATCCCAATGACTGGAAAAAGGGAAATATAACCCCCATTTTCAAGAAGGGGAAAATGGATGGCCAGTAAGTGTCACCTCTGTGCCTGGCAAAATCTTGGAGCAGATTCTCCTGGAAAGCATGCTAAGGCACATGAGAAATAAGAAGGTGCTTGGTGAGAGCCAGCATGGCTTCGCTAAGGGGGAAATCCTGCCTGACCAAATTGGTGGCCATCTATGATGGGAGCTTCTACGGAGCTGATGCACAGGGGCAGAACAGTTAATATCATCTACCTGGACTTGTGTAAAGCATTCGACACTTTCCCACATGACATCCTTGTCTCTAAATTAAGAGAGATAGCAATTTGATGGATGGACCACTTGGTGGATAAAGAACTGGCTGGATGGCTGCACACAAAGAGTTGTGGTCAATGGCTCAATGTCCAGCTGGAGACCAGTAATGAGTGGTGTCCCTCAGGGATCGGTGTTGGGATCGGTCTTACTTAACATCTTTGTCGGTGACATAGACAGTGGGATTGAGTGTGCCCTATGCAAGTTTGCCGATGACACCAAGCTGTGTGGTTCGGTTGATACACTGAAGGGAAGGAATGCCATCCAGAGGGACCTTGACACGCTTGTGAGGTGGGCTGATGCCAACCTTATGAAGTTTAACCATGCCAAGTGAGAGGTCCTGCACCTGGGTCAGAGCAATCCCAGGCACAGCTACAGGTTGGGCAGAGAAGAGATTCAGAGCAGCCCTGCAGAGAAGGACTTGGGGGTGCTGGTCGATGAGAAACTTAACATGAGCCGGCAGTGTGCGCTTGCAGCCCAGAAAGCCAACCGTATCCTGGGCTGCATCAGAAGGAGTGTGACCAGCAGGTCAATGGAGGTGATCCTGCCCCTTTATTCTGCTTTTGTGAGACCTCACCTGGAGTATTGTGTGCAGTTCTGGTGTCCTTAACATAAAAAGGACATGTAACTGTTGGAACAAGTCCAGAGGAGAGCCATGAGGATGATCAGGGGACTGGATCACCTCCCATATGAAGATAGGCTGAGAAAGTTGGGGCTGTTCAGCCTGGAGAAGAGGAGGCTGTGTGGAGACCTCATAGCAGCCTTCCAGTATCTGAAGGGGGCCTATAGGGATGCTGGCAAGGGACTCTTCATTAGGGACTGTAGTGATAGGACAAGAGGTAATGGGTTCAAACTTAAACAGGGGAAGTTTAGATTGGATAAAAGGAGGAAATTCTTTCCTGTAAGGGTGGTGAGGCACTGGAATAGGTTGCCCAGGGAAGTTGTGAATGCTCCATCCCTGGCAGTGTTCAAGACCAGGTTGGATGAAGCCTTGGTTGAGATGGTGTTCTGTGAGGCTTTTCTGCCCATTGCATGGTGTTTGGAACTAGATGGTTTTATAAAGTCCTTTCCAACCCTAACTATTCTATGCTTCTATGCTTCCTTCAAGCTGCAGTGTAATATGTATTATGTGAGATAATGAAGACTTTTATGTCACTTCAGTGTCTTTCATAAAAATAAGAATTAATTTCCCTGTCTGAAAAGAGTTATGTGCAAAGCTTGAAACCCAGCTGTGCATATGATTGTGTTATCTTTCCTATCCTATTTGAATGAGTACTTGCAAATGAAGTGATTCAAAATTCTTCACTAAAGGAGCAATCACATTTACAAGGAAACATTATTCAACAGGCTGGTAAATCTTCAGAATAGGGTGTAGAAAATACAGTGTCAAAACCGATGAGAAGCTGTGTTTGTAACTTAGTTCAAGGTGTTCTTGCTGTTGACCTCCCAGGTTGCATGGGAGAGTTTGAGGGTTTTTTTATTTTTTATTTTTATTTTGAAATAATTCTTCTTAGCAGCAAGGTCCTCTAGCCTGAGCAGCTTGATTTCATAAGACAAGATCAGTGTATGATTTAGTATTAGTGACAGTTACGATATTATTCTTGTGATAATTCTCTAAATGCAGTCTGATTCTAGAATTTAACACAGGCTAGTATGTCCAGTATGCAGGTTGTGTTGACTGAATCATTGAGAACTTACACTTTGAAGGATTGCTGTCTGTCATACTTCAGATGAACTGATGGCTGTGTTTCATTTGTATGAGGCAGAAACCATATGCACAAATATCCATAAAGACCTTTTAAAGTTCTAGTTCAAGTCTGCAACAGGAAGAGTAATGCTAGGTTAGGTAAGCTATTTTCACTACAGTTCATAATGTAATTCTCTAAAATTATAAGCTGTTAAAAATAGACCCATTTATGAAGATTAATTTTATTAGGTAACCAAATTAATGTTTGTTGGAAACCACTGTCACAGATACCAAACTGAAAAATAGGTGTCTTACTCTTGCAATCATGAAAATAAATAGAGTTGAATAGGACATTTTTAATAATAACTATTTTTAGGAAACAGTAAACTTAAGAACTGAAAAGGCAGATTATTTTGCCATTAGTAGTGAGAGTCATTTAAAAGTTTCAGAAGAAAAATGAAAGAGTCTCTGCCTTGTATGATGGTATAACATGTATAATGGAGATAATAGTGGTCAACTAATACAGTTAAAATATTCCATATTCCACTTCTTTTAAAGCTATGCTAAAGCTTTCATTCTTGTCTTTCTCCACCCCATGTAGACTCACACAGGAGAAAAAGAGAAGATTTGCCCATATTGCGGACAGAAGTTTGCAAGCAATGGAACGCTGAGAGTTCATATTCGAAGCCATACAGGTACAGTGTTGTTTATTATAATGAACAGAGATGACTTTCTCAGTATGTAGCAGGGTGTCTATAAGTATGTCCATAATTTGTCTATCTACAAACAGAAATGCAAATTTACAGGTAGGCCTAACACATCATCTTTTTCAGACATTTTACCTGCTTAATGTGTAAAAGCATATTCTGTTCTCAACTATGATTATGTATGAGAGTGTGTATGTATGTGTATGAATGTTTTCTGGTAGCAAAGGTGTTTTGACACTCTGACTTCATATTAATGTAACTTCTGACCTTACCACAGCTTGCACCCTACCCAAATTAGAATGTTCTACCTTGTGCTTTAACTCAAAATTTATTTTCTTTTGCATCGTCTGATTCATTCTGCAGGTCTCCTAATGTTCCTGGGTCTGATACATGCAACTTATTGCCACCCAGATTGCATTACTGTAATACTGTTGCGTTATATATGTGCATCTGTACACACACTGAAAGTAAATTAGTCATGTTGTCAGGTTTCATTTTGTGATCTTATGCTTTCATTCAGGTAAGTCGCAGCATCTAAAAGGGGTTTCATTGTGATAACTTGATTCCAATATAAAATAGTATACATTTGCCTTTGGCAGTCAAAGCAAATAGTCTTCCTATGACATTCCATTCACTTGGCATAAGCAAGTTTCATTTCCAGGGAGATGACAAGAATTTGTGCTTTTAGTTATTTGGCTTTCTACTGTGTTTGGAAAAGTCTGAGTCACTTCAATCTGTCAAGACCACCTCTTAAGATTACAGGTTTACTCATTTTTGATATATTGGGATTTTTGGATTTGGCTGCTATAGACACTAGCAAATTTTTATCCTGTTCCTGCAGGATAGAAGGCTAAAATTGACTTCTATCTTCAGCTCTTATTATTTACTAAATTCCATTTTTGGAACATTTATCCTTCTTAGCAGCAATATAAAATCTTATACATAGAAGCCTCTGTATATGCATTCAGCTCATGTTGTTTACATACACTGTATAATCACTCATACAAAAAACAAAAGGTCAAAGCTGGCAAGACTCAAAATCTGTCTATTGCTCCACTTTGTTGACATTCTTTCTTCTGCGCACTTTATCAACTCCTTTCAAAGCCCTTCCTGCACATTTATTTTTTTTTTTACTTCCTAAAGATTCATATCAAATATTATTCTAATTCTTCATTAAAATCTCTGGATTCACATTTCAACATTTTTTTGCAGGCAGGTCTGCTTTATGGCGTTTGCTAGTGTGACACTTGTGTTTTCTTATTTCACAGGCCCTTTCCTTAAACTTCAGGTATGTTTTCTGTGTACTATGAATGTTATACATCAGTTTGCAGAGTACAAAGGTCCTAGATTTTCAAGTTGATAGTACAGATAGCTCTTGGGGAAAATGCTTTATAGCTGTCTGGGTGAAAATTCTTTTCACGCATGTGCTGCTACCAGTTACACTTAATGTTTCAGCTCTCAAGCAGGCTTTCCTGAATTTAGAAGTTAGGCTAAGCTGATGTTCATGAAACCACACACGAGAGACCTCTAACCTTGACTATAGAGCCTAGCAAAATTTGTAGCCAGTATAACACAAGAAGCGGTAACTATGACATTTTGAATTTACTTGAAGTAGAAAGGCACTGAAGATTTTCAGCTCATTTGTAAATTAAGTGTGGTAGGACAAACTGTCTTGCCAGGATATGATACAGGTTGGAGTTAAGGGGATATGCAGTGTGGGAACAGCCCACTGCAGGAGGAGGGAGAGTTCAAGGCCTGTTTCGTTACCTAAAAAGATAGAAGCACTCATTTTGAAGAGGGTTGCTAATTCAGGAAAATGGTTTAAAAAAATAATTTGTAAGTTACATGACAAAATGCCTTATGTGAGGTTTAGTGAGAGCATGCTGTAGTTAGATGCATGTTGGACTTTTGGAGAGGTTGTTTTGACTTGTGCTGTACCTGAAGACTTTAGCCAAGTTGTTCATTATCATAATAGATGCAGACTAATCACAAAAGGAAATTTTGTCCCATGTTCAGTGGGCCTGAGGAAGCATAGCTTTCTGAGGATAGCTTGCATCATTTCTGAGAAATCAAGGATAGTTGATGAAGGGAATCTATGTCATCTGCAAACAGTACAAAAATAATTGAAGTATTCATTTGATGGCTTTTAGTAATAAAGTTCACTGCATTGTGAAAATCCTTGACAAATTCTTGGGTATTTTTCTGAGTGCCAAGAAATTTGCAGCTCGTCAAACAGTGGAGTCACAAACTTACTTTATTCAGTGATGGAGGTTTGGTTTCAAAACATTGCCCTATTGAATACTTCGTGCTCTTGATATCTGTTAAATTCTGTGGTTTTGAATTGATCAGTTAAAAAACTGCTCTCTTTTCATTTTTTGTGACTTTGGAGTATCACATTTCATTCTGACCTAGAAGTGAAACAACCAGCAACCGTGGTTTGCTTTCAAGAGATGGATCATCTTTGTGAATAAGCCTTCAGCTGGGGATGAACTTTGTTGCAGCTAAGCAGTACACCATAAGTGTAAATATTGCAAAGACCTTCATGTCTTAGTGATTACACCTGATTAGTTTGAGGTCTTGGTGCAGAGATACATGTTACACCGCTGTGCATGTGGTCAGCTGGACTTTGTTTTATTAGCTACTTGGTTCTATATTTAAAAAATAAAGCCAGCAGAGTTCTTTTTAAAGAGAGTTGTGTATCAGTTTTTATCCTTTTTTTTATAAAGCTGGTTTTGATAAAAAGTCAAGGTTGTTGGTTCTGCTTTGGAATTGTATTGTCATATGCTTAATAATCCGTATACAAAAAGAGAAGCTTAATGGAATTTTGGCTTATATTTAATACACAGCGGATGTTCTTCAGTATTGTTACTCACAGATGTATGCATGCTTCCTTGATAAGCAGTTTTCTTCCCTCTTTTATCTTAGAGTAAGACTCTGTAAATGAGCCCTAACAGTATTTGGCCTGTTGCAGAAACTGAGCTTGTTTGGGGTGAGTGAACATGTCTGCATGTACATGTACAAAGGGAAGGGGTTGATGTTTGCATCTGAACCTAGCATATTGCTCTGTAATTCATCATCTGAGTTTCAGCCTTGGCATGACAGAGACAGCGGTCTGTAGGTCAGCTGAAACACTATAGCACATTCTCAGTCTGCTGTATCCTGTTGGTTTATTACTTCTTAGCATCAGAGGGAACAGGGGTTAATTTGGCAAAAGAATCCTCTGACTGTGATATAAAATCCTTGGCTTGTTCATAAATTGTAAAAGAAATTCTATGGTCTGCTCCTTGGGCTTGAAAACTAGGGGCCAGGAGGTTAATTACTTCCCCAAAGTTTCCTCAAAGTTTTCATAAAGCAGCTTCAGTGTTAACGGTTACTGGCTGTGGCTTCTGCAACTTTTCAGTTTCCTTATGCATAGCTGTTTAGATCTTGTAATTGCTGTCTTGTGTGTTTGTGTGTGCCTGTATTTGTGTGTGCCTGTGTAATGCATTTATGCACATGCTTTCTATCTTTCTGATACTTATACTGTTGCTTTCCTAATTAATTGTGTCCTAATCCCTTCTATCATTGTGAGGTAGCACATCAGATTGTTACAATAGAGTTGTTCTGTTAGAAGAACAACTAGTAGTAGTAGTTGAGGTAGTTCATATTTGCAGGTAAATTTTTTTCTGTGTTAAGAAAATTAAGTGTTTGAATTGTAATTCCATCCTTTGCATGCTGTCTTTTTCTACTACATTACATAGCGACTGACGAGGGACAACTAATGACCATACATGTCTTCCAGAAAATGCTTATACATGCAAATATAGGTTAAGACATAACCTTTGTTTTTTATTTTTTCACCACAGTTATTCAAAGTATTGCTAAAAAGTAACTAAGATTACGATGACTTTATTTTGTCCTAAATGTTTTTTGAAAAGATGAATGTTTATATTCTGTGTCGTTTAAAAGCCATGACTTAATGTGGCGTTCTTACATGTTACAGTCTCTGGTATGTGGAAAAGCTGCTTTATTTTGTAAGCGTGAGTTGAGAAGGTTCTTTGTTAATTTGTTACCATATACATGAGTAAGAAATAATGCCAAGATATTGTATTAGAACAGCGAAAAGCATTTGGACCATAGACTTCCATAGCCTTTGTGTCAACACAGTTAAGCTTACCTTTTCCATTTCCATTTTGATAACTAAAGACTCCTTTATAAGCTCATGAAAACATTTCATCTTACTTTCTCACTGTAACTTTAGGTGCTGGTTGCCTTCTTGAGATGTTTGTCATCCTCTGCATTGAGGATCTGCTGTTATGATCCTCACTTTGCCACTGTAGTCGCATTTCTACAGTTTGATTAACTAGTCATTTGGGCATGTTTAAGATCATATTTATGGTCCAACTGTGTAAAAATCTAGGCCTAAATTTTGCACTTTTATATAAAAATTCCTGAGTAAACAATAAAATATTAGTTGTGGAGTTATGATAATGATCTTTGCTTATTAACAGTAGTTGAGTCATCTGTGAGCAAAAGACTTCAAAGTAGTTGAATGAAGAAGTTGAAGAACAGTTTAGTTTAGTACTGTGTAAAATATGCCCCCAAAGTTTTAATAGCTAAAGAAGCAACTGTTTATTCATGTACATAAGAAATAATGTACAGCCAGGATCCTTATTCTAGAAAATCTTCTGGCAAATTACCTTATAAGTAATATATGTTTTGTTACATTAAAAACAAAAAATAGATTTTAAGAGAAGCTTAAAGGAACTTCCTCTCATACCACATTGAAGTATGTGGAAAAACGTATATGTGTCTAGTCAGTAAACAGCTAGCAGATGTCTACAGATAAACAGGTTGTTTCTATTCAGTAACTTATAAATGATCTCTCTTTTGTCTACTGAATTTAAAAAGGAGCTTGCAGAGGACCTCAAAGGTAAGGATTCTGCATTTCTAAACTTTTCAGTTTATACATCATTGTTCTATCTCCAGATAACAGTTAAATCTTTAAA